AGGAATGGTTTCATCCCTGCATTTGTAAGACATATTGGCCTATTACATATTATGTCATTAAAAAAAAATTTGTCTGGATGATTTCTTTATGACCGACAAAGATTTCCTTGAATTTAGGAGGGGCTAGTGAAATTTGTCTGACGTCTGACAATCCTTGAGTATAATGAAAGCTGCCTTTAATAATGCAAGAAAAGTTAATATTGTTTAAGCCTTCATATGAATTTTTTTATAATTATTGTTGAAGTTAGAGAGGCAGAGCTTAGGAGCGAAATTGTGCACGATTTCTAAAGCTAGGTGATGGCCTACTACGGAATTGTGCTTGTACCACATTAACCTGCAACTGCTCAGTTCAGTCCCTGCTACCGGTCCATTGGGAGAATTAATGACAGACACAATGAGGAGAGGAAATTAGAGGAACACCAGCTTACTGAGCACCTCCAACCTTTTCTGAATTCATCACTATCCTGCACAATACCCCAAATGTTGCAGATGCCTATTTGTAATTAAATATTCAATGGAATTCCATTTGATCACACGTCAGTTGTCATTTCTAATATCCTAGCAAAGACATACACACACACACATATATATATCCTAGCTAATGCTAGCCTTATTGTGTTTAATTTGAGGTACTTTACACCTTTGTATCAATTCATTTTCACAGAACTTGAGGGGGAAATGGGTTATGCATTAACAGCATCCAATTCAGAGAGTGATATGAGTCTTGTGTAATAATAGCTAGCATACATAATGTCATCAATGGAAGTGGTTTCTTTGTGATTTATATTCAATTCAATTCAAATTTTCCTTTAGATCCAGGCTATAAATATTTCATGCTGCTTATGCTTCTTGTTAATATTATTGGGCGAATAAAGAAATTTTCATTTCTCAAAATAAACCTGTTACAATACCATAAGATTTTATTTAACATCATTATTATTATTATTATTCACCCTATATATGTTTGTATGGTACATTTTACTGACAATTAAATTGCTCTATCTTTTCAATGAGGAAAATTGTGAATTTTACATAAATTTTAATTTTAAGTCATTAAATATTAATTAAAATAGAACATTCCCATTTAGTGGTAGCAACAAAATTAAAAAGCAGGCTACGCTATAGTTCAATTGTATGCAGTAAAAGCACCATACATGCAATAAAGAAGTCTTTTTTTTTTTTTTTTTTTTTTGTGATTATAAAGTCATGGATCTGGAAGTTGACAATTTTTGCCCATTGAAAAGAGCACCATAGTTGGACAAAAGTAGATAGGCCTATCATCTTTCTCTGAAGCAATCATTAAGGAAAGAATATTGCTTTACACTGATACATAGTATAGGCCTATGGTGGGGAGTGATTAGCATATAATAAATCTCTAGGTTTTTTTTTCTTGTAACATGCTGAGGAAAAGAGCTGACAAGATCTTGTTGGCCTGCATGCAGACAGAAATTATTGAATGAATCTACTGGTACTTAATTACCATGTCTCTCAGCCTCTTTGTCTTCAGTTGTCAATAGGAAATACCAGCAGATTGAATCAACTTAGTTATTATTTCATAAATTTACTTTGGTTTTTATACAGACATAAGCCATTTGCTTGATTTTGCTCTGGTTTGACATCGAATAAAATGTCAAAATTTCTCCATCTTAGGTCAGAATGTGAGGCATTATAGTTATTGTTATTACTAGTACAAGTTTCATAAAAAAATATAAACAGGACAGTAAAACAAGATTCAGACTGATTGTTAATATAGCAAATGGTATCATCAATAACACTACATTATGAGCTGTTATTCAATTTACTGAATTTACCGCTATTTAATGGTGGCTAAATTCTTTTTCTGTTAATTGATGTTTCACAAGTACTTGCATCATTTACACGTGTATATACTAATGTATTCTGCTGATGTAATTCTCTGTTCTATGGAATATATGTCAATTATAAGTAAATGGGACACACCTAGGGATGTTTTATCACTTGATGCTATATTAATTTGTTTGTAATTGTCTGTTGTTTAAAATTTTATCACATTCTATTTTCATTTAATAAATTCTAACAAGATGTTTTTTCGGGAATATAAACACCATATATTAGGGGACCATTCCCACAGATATTTGGATTGATCTATCTCCCTGGGGAGTCTTACTAATACCCCGTTCACACTACAATCTGAAATATCCGAATTTTTGCAATGCGAATTACGGGTGAAAAATCCGATTCGGTTGTCTGGCCACACACAGCAAAGGGAAACCGAATCGTGCACTGAAAATTCAGGTGGAGGTTCCGGTTTGAAGAATCGCGCATGCGCAGAATCCATGAAAACAAAAATATGGCGCCAATCATTGCTATTCTCGCACTCAGTTTTTTTTCTCGTGTGTTTGTTTTTGGAACATCAAATTTAACCCAAAAGTCGTCAAAAGGAAGATTTAAGTAAGATCTGGAAGAATTTGACGGATACAAGAAGGAGAATAGCTGGGTTTCGATGGAGGGTGTGGGTCCACTGACCTGGCATGTTGCTTTTCTTTCCCGCGAGATTTGCTAGTGCATGCGCAGTGCGATCTAAACAGGTGGCCCTTCCAGTAAAGTAACAGAATCGCTGGAGAGAATCCAGCTCGCTAGTAGGATTTTTGGAAACCGGTTTACAAAAATCCTCATGCGTTCAGACTACCACAATAATTTGAATCTTGACCTAATTCGCTATTTAACCGGTTAAATGACTGCAGTGTGAACGGGGTATAAATTGCTATCAAACTAACCGGCTTAAACATCTGTTACGCCTAGTAAAACTGTTAGAGGGTAATTATCTTTACCCTTAGTTGATTTGGTAGGCGTGGCAGACATTTAAGCCTCTTGAGCTGATAGCAATTTAACGTGAACCCCCAGGGAGTTAGGTCGATCCAGATGGATCGATCTAAGTATGGGAATCCAGTCTAAGTGACAGTGTTTGTAAGGTCAATTTTTCACTAAGCCTTTATTGCACACGACATTAAACTAGTAAAAAGCCAGAATATATTTTAATAATGTGGCACTATTTGTCATGCTAAAGATAGATTTGATCTTCGTCAGCAAGTGAGTGATTTAAAAGGTGATACTGAGACAACTTAAGGGTTTTCTTGTCATATTGCTGGATTCTTTGTCAGGACAAGTTGTTTGGGAAATGTGTTTAAAAGCCATAAAGGAGCAATTTTGAATTACTGGTGTTTGCAGTGATATCGGTATGACATATATGGAATGAGTGTTATGAGGAGTATACATGTAGTATATCAATTCCTTCAATAATTGCAGTGCTGTTGTAAAATTAACATACAGATACCAGAGGAGTTGGCAAATGTGAAGATCTTTCAACAAGTTATTTGCTGTTTTAGACATATCAAGTCAGAAGTCGTGTAAGGCTGATGTTTTCAGATGGCCTTGTCTTTTTTTTTTCAAAAAAAAAGATAGATTTGATCTTTCAAAAAAGTTGTTTTATCATCCTGGCTTGTTGTTTGCTTTGTAGATTTAGTCTGGTAGGTATGTCAGATGATGAATAAAACATGCAGTTAGCATTTGTTCTACATCCTATAATATCTGCTTCCTGCCATGATGAAGAGTTTCACAATGAGAATTATTAACTGCTCGTTATAGAGATATATAGATTTTCTTATCCTTCTAGAGGGAATTGAACCAGAAAATTTAACGATACACAAGTTTCAAGGGGAGTTTAGTTTGACTTTCTGAAATCATTTCCTTTGAATGCCTGTCTTAATTTTGTGTGTTGGCATAAATGATTTCACACTATAGATTTCTTCAGGATATTATCATTGATTTAGTGTTGTACATTGAAGCAAATGGTTATCTAGCTGACAAACACATACATAATAAATTGTCTTGGGGATTAGTTTAACAATGACATTTAAACCAGTTCATGGTCGCTTGATATGCAATTGACACTATTAAAAGAATTTGCTTCTGCATGAAGAATTTCATTTTTCAAAATGAGTTTTGTTTTTGATACCATTTGCTTTCCTTGTTTGACAAAAAGCTACTTAAATTTGAACTGTTATTGCCAAATGTTTAAATCATTTCTTTATTAATTTTTACCAATTGTGGCAAAGTATAGATTTGCCAGTCAAATGCACAAAGGGACTTGCCCCCCTGGTAATAGCAGTAACTTTGTCAGAGGCAGGGTGATCTTTGAGGTTAAGCAGGCTTTTATTAATTTAATTTAAGGCCAGTGATGCACATGAAAATTCAATACAGGTCTTGATGTGGCCCCAGCGTGTACCTCTTATTTATTTAGTTTTTTTGTTGTTCGGGGAGATTATTTCATTCTTTTAGAGAATGGTCAACAATAAAGATGTTTTAAATCGATTTTGGCCATTATCTGTAGGAATTGTTCCTTAATTGTGGTTTCTGCCAATAACAGTGTGGTAACACATTGCTTGCTCTTGAGTCATTATCTTTTATGGTACATGTATGTAACAAGAAAACAAGGCAATTTGCAGAAGATATTTTAAGTAATATGGTGCAATTTAAGAATAATCTTCAGTAATTAATTGCAATTTAAGCATAATTGTGTTGAAAATAAATACCTAACACTGACTGTTGAAAAATTAGGAATTAAAGTCCTCCTGTAATCTAGATTCATTCCTTCTTTCATGTTGTCAGTTATTGCATGTCCCTAACTATTGTACAGCAGATACCGCTACCTGCCTAGCTTTCAAGTGATATTTACTAATCCATCAAAAGCTACATTAGAGGTCTATAAGATGAGTATGTAATTGCCAGGAAGAAAGAACCATTTTAATCTCAAATGATTCCGATATTTCACTGTGCAGTACATTAAGAGAAAGCTAACACTTGCCCATTAGAACCAAGCAGCACCACGTTCATCTTCGCGTACATCATCACATAATGTAGATTTTATCATATGCATTTTTTGTACCATCTATTATGTTTGATTATCAGATGTGCTTGATATTAGACTAACCAACTGCTGTTTGCCATTGGTGTGTTTGTAGTAGACTCCCGGTAGCAGACTCAGGAAATTACACGCCATAGAGTTGCCCTCATAACAATAGTGTGCCGAGCAGCACAGCTTCTACACAACGCAAAGGTAGGTTCGTAGAGGAAGTGTGCTGTATTGAGAAAAATTATTTTGTAATGTGCTGTCTCCATATGTTTTAACCAGTGAAGGCTGACGTGATATGTTTGAGTTAACTCAGGTGGAATATGTGGCAGTGCTAAGTACTTGTGTTATTAATTTATTAATATTTGTTTATTTTCGTAACAAAATTCCTGTTATATGCATATAGTTTAGACAGAGTGAAGAGATTTTTGTCAATTTTACAAATTTTGAATTAAATAAAAGTTTGAATGCTCCTCATATATTGTGACGTCTGTCTTTTCTACACAGTTTTTGTGCTTGACAGATTTTGTCTTTGGATGTCTGATTCATGCACAAATGTAGGTCAAAAGTTTTAACATATTTTTTTATTCCTCATGAATCAATATTTAAATCAAATGACACTCACCACAAACCAAACAATTTGTGAGTACACCTGAGAAAAAATGGAAGTGAAATTGAAGGCTCAAATTTGATCACGTATTCATGTACCAGTACACTCGTACCGAGCTGATGTGTGTTTCCGTTTATATCTGGGAGATATTGCTAAAGTAAGCCACTGGGTTTGTCTCAACTATGTTTTCATGTACATTTCACACCCATGAAAAAGAGTACTATTTCTCCTTTCTATGTGTATTTTTTACTCCTAGATGATGCGGCAATACCCATATACAGTAGAGGTGACCAAACCACTAAGACTTGGAACTGTTGTAGAAGTACAAGGAGTTCCTATTGCCGGGGCAAATGAGTGAGTATCATCTATACAAGGCCATATGTCTCTGCAAAGAAACTGGAAGAGCAACATTCTGGCTATGCTCAATAGTTATTAAATCCCTATGTTCTTTTTTTTATGTCATGGAAAATAAGTGTAATCTATGTGTTGGGAGGGAATTCATGGAAAGAATTATTTAGCTTGTGTAATACATGTTTGGAAGACGAAGGCCAAGATACGTATGTATTATAGTTACTCTGTTGCTGACTGACTCCAGTGGCAGATTTAGAGGGGGGGGGGGGGGGAGGGGACGTCTTTGTATCCGTAGACATCCCTTCAAATAATCCTAGATCTGCCCCTGCACGTATTATTTTGAATGCACTTTGTTCTTTTAGAGCCACATTGTTAAGGTTACCTTCCTTAATTATCAACATACTAATGGTTTGGGAGTTCCTCACCTCCTGACCTGTCGTTCTTGAAAGCTCGATTCCTCCTCCGCCTCCCCAGAGGAATACAATGGTAGGATTAATGCCCTGAGTTCACTTTCAAGATGGCAGGTCGCATTATATACTTCCTCTAGCCTGACAGGGTTTATTGGAAATTTGAAAAGACTTGGAAGGAGGGATATTAGGGAAAAGAGAAAAAAAGAGCTTGAGTAATTATTTGATCCAGAGGAAGGAAACATTGCCAGAATGTCTTTTTTTCCCTAGATTGTGTTATGTGGCTAAGATATTTGTAGCATATAGAATATAAAAGTTTCAGGTTTCAATGGCAACCAAATTTGAAATTAAGGGCACCTCAGTTTCATTACCATTCATGAAATAGGGCATGGCTATCCTTCACCCCCCCCCCCCAAAAGGCCCACAAACCCCACCTAAATTGCCTCTCATGTTAACAATGAATATTTAAAAATATTTTTGTAGATTTGTGGTGAGCCTTTTAGTCCAGCGACCAGGGGCGAGACAGGCAGACATTGCTTTACAGATGAAACCACAGCTCAATGGGAGCACAGAGATAGGCTGTGTCTCAATAATAGCTGACGAGCAGGACGAACAGATCAACTACTTCCCGGTCTTCCCGTTCAGTCATGATCATTCATTCTGTTTGGAAATAACAGTGAAAGAGAGTTACTTTCAGGTAGGGTGATTTTTTTCCCCATTTCCATATACATGTTTAATTATGTACTAGCTCATATTCCGTATCAGTTGGCTTTGTCTTAGGTTTTGCAGTATTTGCTGCTCTGCCTTGAAACCGGAACCACTGAATTGGTTAGTTAATGCAATTGTCATGTCTTGTTGAAGAGCACTGCATTTTTGTATGGGAACACAGGTGAAATACTTCAGTGACTAAATGCCTTATTCATCTGCCTTAATTGTACTGAAAGGAAGACCAAGTCATATATAAAAGCATAAATGCTTTAGTTAAGCAGTGGTATACCCTGTGTAAGGAGTGGAAAAATCATGCAGTCAGAACAGGGAAAAACCTATTATACTGTAGCTGCTGGATTTAGTTCAGATTTCACTGAAACTTGGACATAAATAATTTGTTATTATGTCCAAGACTGAAACAACACCAAACTGTACTTAATTATTTTAAACTTTAAAAAAGTTTAACAGCTGACTCCTATGTTTTTTTTTTTTTGTATTTTGCATAAACATTTTAATACCATACAAACATTAATGTCATGTACAAAACCTGACTATTATGTCAACTAATTATATAATAAAACAACATGAAATGATCACCCTCCCCCCCCCCAAAAAAAAATTTTTTTCTTGAACTTTTTTTAAAATTTTGACTATTTTATAACTTTTTATAAAAGTTAATTGTTTTAAAGACATGTCAGAAAGCACATTTTATGAAGGTCTAAATTGATAAATCTTGAATTGGAATATAATAATTAGAATATATATAATAAGTGCAGCATTTCAAAAATATAATTGATTATCACAACTTACAACAAAATCAGATTATTTTGCCGGATTATCAGGGGAGGGTTTCCTGTGTATTATAAATGCACAAGCCAATGTATCAGAAAGACATTAGCTATATAAAGAAAGCACTACAGGTTGACGTAAAGACTGATCGAGACTGAACATTATATCTGTCTGACGTTGTCATGAAGATGGAGCTATAGTTATCTGTGAAGATTTTAAGACTTGTAGGTGAAAAGTGGTAAATGGACAATTATTCTCAGTTCTCAAAAAAAAAAAAAAATATCAATCCATCCCTTGTTATTTAACTTGAGAAAAGACCTCAGAGAGCAAGGACCCTTGCCAAGACAAATAATGAACTAATATTTAACCATTAATTAATAAGTAATAAGTAGATCTGTGGCCACCAAAATCTAATGATATATTCCTTGGTCCACTCCTGACCTGTCCTGAAAATTTCATCAAAATCGGTTTATCACTGACAAACAAAGATAGCTGAAAACATAATCTCATTGACAGAGGTAAGTTTGCATTCTGAAGATGTTAACCGGAAAATATGAGGTCTCCGTATTAGTACAGCTGTTAACATAACTATAAACTCTATCTAAATATCAAAAAGTCTAAAAGTTTTGTCTGTAAATGTAGTGTACCGTTAGTAATGGAGAGGCAAACACTTAAGCAAACCTTTAAGAGTCATTTAATACCCTCTTAAACTGGAAATTGCTATGAATAATTTAGTAAGACACTATATCAAGTATTTGAACCAATATAAGTATAGCTGACTATAGCTATATATATACATACTAGTATGAGGGTAAGGTAGGTAAAATTCAGTTGCTTTAACTGGCAATTATAGGGCATTTATTTCTAACAGTAGATGCATGTAATTATATATATATATATATATGGAAAGTTACCAAGCAACAGAGGATTCAGACTGACCATTTGGTGACTGCGTGACGTTCAGGTATGCGTACAGGTGAAAAGTTTACACGTAAAGACAACTTATTAAGCTTGAGGCTTAAAACATCTATTAAATCATGTCTGCTGGAAATTCAAAGGCACTTCTTAGCTGGTAGAAAACAGCTCTTTTTTAATACACATTTGTTGCACCAAGGATGTAATGCATTGTATTGCAAACACAAATGTAGGGTGACCTACAGTGATACAAAAGGCATTTTTTTTTTACTTGCTTCTTAAAAGTCTTTATTTTCGTAAGGCATTGGAGCAGGGGGGAATAAAATGATTTTCAAAATAATGTCTTTTGTCACTATATAGTATTTTAAAACTTCAATTGTTTGCATTATTTTAACCTACCTTAAATTCTCTAAAACAAAAAGGAAAACAGTCATTTCTATTCAATGAAGTGTCCTATTTGTCATAATTACATCTGATGACCTGCAACAGTCTTGTTAATTTTAAAAATATTTCTTTTTCTCCCCTCAACTTTCAATGCATAGTGTTTGACATGGTTTACCTCATTTTTTTTTTATTTTTGCCATTTAAAATTTAGAAGGGTTAGAGAAACAAGTTGTTTTTTTAACCTGCCTATACAGTTTAAACAATGCAGTATAATGAAATTTTTATGCACACCTTCTGCTCCATTTTGGTGTGACCCTGTATTTGCAGTTCTGTTTTGTAAAGCTGCACATGAAGTAGGTCATCGTTTTATGTTTATTTATATATATATCTGTATATACAGTACGACCAGCTTATTTTGTACACTCATTTTACTTTTCTGTTTATTATGATGTAAGGTTAATTTGATTAACATTAATTTTATTTGACAATCAACCATAAGTTGAAATGTGTAGATATTGATATAGATAAATTTATTAAGTACTGCATTTTGACAGAGGACAAGTAAAAAAAGTCAGGTCATTAAAGTTTTAAGCATGTTTCAGAATATGTTATTGCATGATCATCACATGAGTATTAGGACAGGAATGTTACTTGCAGATTTAGAACTATTAATTAGTATAAATCAACACATTTTATCATCAGCTTGTATCTTCAGTGATATAAACTCTTGAGAAATGCACTTTTTTATTGCTGATCAAGGATGAATACTATTTAAAGATATTTTATTTTTCTAGTGTAAAGATTATTCAGTAAGTTTTTGGTTGCATGCAAGGGTTGATAATAAATAGTTCGAGAATACTGGGTATTAGCTACAGTTACTTAATATCTAGGTGAAGGATTAATTCAAAATATGTTGTAAGTAAATTACTTAAAGCTCATTCTCAATGAAATTACCATCCTACATAGATCAATCCAACTCAGATAAATAACATGCCTCCTATTGTTTTCATTAACATACTCATATAATCACCAGCTTTTGTATATTTTACTTAACGCCTGCAGAAGGGCGCATGTTTTAATCTGATTGCATTCAGCAAGAGTCCCCCTTGGAGTTAGTGAGCATTATATAGGTCGACAAAATTCTTTGTGATTGATAGAAAAGCTGGTTCTTTTACAATTACATTAGAAACAAAAGAAGGCGTGTTAATCTCTTAATCTGATTACATATAGGTAGAGTTCCCGCAGGGTTGGATCAACCTACGTAAAATGACAGTTTATTGGGAATGAGGCTTAAAGCTGCATTCAGATTTAAAGTTATCATTCCAGCAGGATCGATCTATATTGGCAGGGATTCTTGCTTAAGGCGCAGTTATTGTAATCAGCTTTATTGTCTGGCATGCCTCTTTGTAACTTTAAGTACTTGGATAAAGTCGGTGGAAACTTTGTGGTCCATGATGTTCTTGTTGCTCTGTGAGAGGGCATTTGCCAGACAATTAAGCTGATTACATTGCCTGGGCCTTAGCGAGAATCCCCACTGAGTTAGATTGATTCTGCTGAACCGATAATTTTTAATCTGAACCCAGCCTAAGATTGTCAATTCCAGATTAGTGTGGATGGGAAGCATTTAATGGACTACAGTCACCGGACACCTCCACATCACATTTCCCACGTAGTTTTGGACGGAGATGCCATTTTCCAGTCAGTAGAGTTCTTCTCAGCTGAAGAATTTCAACAGAAGTCAGATTTTAAAGCCAAGGATCTGACGTACCATGAGCGAACATTGAGTTCCGGCTATACCTCCCAATCAAGTGAGCATAACTTTGATGTAGAAAGCATGGAAGACAACTCGTTTGAGGATTCCAATTCTATTCCTCTCATAGAGCATCAGCATGGGCAGAGGTACAAAGAAAAGAGAGATGTGAATAAGTATGGTGTTGGAAATAGTGAGGAGCCTTTAAGAGACCATGTGGATTTTGAGGCACAAGTTTCACCACACAAAACTGTCTTTACTTTCAAGCCTGAAGAAAGAGATATTACTACACGATTGGTATGTAAATTAAGAATGTCACCAAAAATGTATGATATATTAAAACTGAACGACAAAATACAAGTTGTTTATGTTTAGTTTGATGGCATATAGTTAAAAAGGCAAATAAAGCAGGAAAAAATTTATATGGTTTTCAAATCAATGTGTATTGTTTGCAATATAAAACTTTCACTTAGTCGTATTTTCAGAATTCTTTTCAGATTGATTTTGAATTTGATCATTTACAACTGAAGTCATAACTTTTTACATTTAACTATAGGACTTACCCCATTTTCTTGAGATACCAGATGAGTTTGGAGTGGGACGAGTCATCTATATTGATGGAGTTGCATGGAAAGACTGCAAGTGGTAAGGATATGTATGGATTGATGAGAAAAACCTGTTTTTTTTCACTAGTTATACTGTGTGTGTGTGTGTGTGTGTGTGTGTGTGTGTGTGTGTGCGTGCGTGCGTGCGTGTGTGTGTGTGTGTGTGTTTGGAGGGGGGGGGGGGCAAAAACAGAGTACCAACAAAGCCCTAGGGCTCGAGGGTGTGTACTTAAATCCACCTTTGCAACTTTAATGGTTTACCACTGAATAAATTAATTGATTTAAGCAGTTTGTAGAAGTAAATTGTTTTCCATAAATATGTAGAATCATTCTTGGCTTTTGTGCCAGAATTTCTCAAAGAAAACTAGATATGTTAGGATAAATATTTCATCATGTATAAGGTTTTGATGTTTAGTCAAGGGTATGTATGTGGCGAGTATCTCAGTTTGTGGCTCGATGACTGCAGTTTGGATGAGCAATAACCTGTAGAGGGATCTCTACTATTGCTCTGTATTTTGGCAGAAGTCAGATATTACCAGTATTTGGCGTTGTATGATGTTTAGCATAAACACAACAACCTGAAGATTTACGTGGCGATTGCCTTGTCATTTGTCTGCATCATGATGTGTTATGCAGAATAATGGAGGTTGCTATTTCTCATCTCTTTAATTTAGATAACTGTAAAAGTTTCTTTACCCAATACTTGGTTATGGTTATAAATAATCATAGAACTACTGGTATAAAGTCTTAAGTGTATCTTGTATATGCATCCCTGAAGCATTTATGGGGATATCGTTCAGCTAATGATTTATTTCCTGCTCATGAACTGATGTGATTGAGTTTTTGGTTTCAGTCTCAGGAGTCAGGGCTGCTTGACAAAGTGTAAATTGACCCAAATTCAATACCATTTGCGAGGATAATGCTTCAAGCACTGTTTAACTACGTAAATCCTCTAATAGAGAGTTATCAATTTTGCATGAGCCTTTTATCAAGAGGAATATTGCATATCTCACAGATTGCATGTTTCTAAGAAAATTTCTGAATACTGGTAATATAATATAACTGAAAGACTTTTTTGCCTTAAAGTGACAAAGGGTTTTGAATACATGTGAATTGCATAAGCCTCTCTTGTTGAACAAGTGATACTTTTTGGTCATATTTTAACAGGTATACATGTATGCCATGTGATCTTTTTGTACTTGCCATAATTCATGTTGTTGCAAATTTTGAAAATTTTGTCAGTTTAAAAAGCACACATTTACCTGCATGCAAAATTAAGGTTATAGAGCACTAATACTTCCATTTCTCTCTATATATGTGCAGTCATCAATCCCATTGCTTTATAAATCTCACTGGACTTCAAAATTGTTATCCAATTACATGAATACTGCAGGAGTGACATTTTGACTTCTCATGAATGACATGTCATGGCTTTTAAATCAACTATTAATGTCACATTTTACAGAACCATAGGCAGATTTCAGATCAATTTGTACTGAATCTCAGATGTTATAGCTTGTGAAGCTATAAAAATTGATGCAACCTTTTGGTAAATCAAGCAGCATGTGTGTTATCAAGTTTTTAATGTTAAACTCATAACTTTTGGCCTTTGATGAAACTCAGAATTCTGTGATACGTTTGTTCATTAAAAGAGAGTACAGGATTGTCTTCCCAACCTTAAAATGGTTTTATCAATTTTGTCACATTTTCCAGAGTTAAGGGTCTGAAACCTCGATTGATCTAGCTGTTTGTTAAACGATGAAAGTATTAGTAGCATTGTGTCAAGTGTGATTTGATTTAGCAGCCTTCCAAGGAGTTCTAGGAAAAGGTCTTCCCCTTTGTGCACATTGGTGATTGATTCCGTTTTAGTTTAATCAAGTTTATCCAGTCGGAAGAAAAGTAGACATACAGATTTTAGAACAACCTTATTGAACATACCATGTATACATGGCATTTAGCTCATTTTTTGTGCACTAGTTTCTAATTAAGCCTAAGGATAATTGGAAACAACAATATTAGCGAGGTAATCCAATTCCTAACATATTAATTTTTTACTAATTGGTTTCTTGGATGTCAATTTACCTCTTTTATTAGCCAGAAAAAGATGTCAATAGATAGATACTTAGATAAATAGAAAGATAAAAAATTATGAAAGGTGTTCACTTCAGGCAAGACACTTTCTTGTAGTCTTCAGCTTGGGAAGTTGGAGAAATTGCATATTGAAAAAGAGTGCGTGTAGCTTGAAAATCTAACTGATAGAAAAGATAAAAGGTTTACTACATAATGGCATACTGCAGTTTTCACAGCAGAGGCATACAACAGGTACAAACTGATGACAAACAATAATAATTCAAGTCTTGAAAGAGACCCTTTCAGTTTCTGTTGCTCTCATATTGCATAGAACTTCATGTTAGAAAATGTATTGCATTTAACAGTTCTCCTAAATTACATATTCTATCTGTTACCAGAGTAAATACAAGCACAAGACAAAGCACAACAGTTTGAAAAAAGACAGGATACCCGGGCTCCCAAATATTTTATTACCTAAAACTTGTTAATTCGCTCCAGTGTCGTATGATGTTCTTTGGATACTTTTCCTGTCCCAACATTTAATTGGTATATTACCGATGTTTAATTAGTTTATTAGATAACATTAAACATCTTTTCTTTGCCTGAGTAAGGTACGTCAAGGTACATCAATGGAAAGATAAGAAACTGATGCAGAGTTCACTGATAGGCAAGGCTTGTTTGTGCAGTTTTATGTAGCCAGAAAAAAAAGGGGTTGAAAAAGATTAAATTTTTACTACATACATGCATACATACATACATATTGCAGAGAGAGAATGCCCCCCCCCCCCCCCAAAAAAAAAAAAAAAAGAAAAAGAAAAAGAAAAAAAGATAGATAGATAGATACTAGTTGATTATCTCCAGACATATTTTTTGGATGCTTTGTTTGTCCAACCGTTATGAACATTTACCTGGTATGTAGTTCCCTTTCATATTTTTTATTTTTAAGGTTTGAAGTCTGTTTGCAGACTGGCAGTGAAAAGCTCCCACACACAACAGCTGTCTTCTCATTTCGGCCAGATTTCCCATCCAGAAGTACAACTTGTAATACATTTGTCCTGAAAAATTGGGGCCTGGAAAGAATCCAGGAAGACAACTTTCCATTTGAGGCTGGGAAACCATTTTTGATGAAAATTTTGGCAAAAGAAGAAGGCTATGAGGTAAGTTGGTTTCCTTGGTAAGTTCAGGGTTGCTAGGTTACAGGGTAACTATGGAGATTCATTAAAATCAGGGTTACCGCATAAAGAGAACACATACAGGGAGGAAATTTTTCTGCCATTTGGATAATTTGATTCTGAATTCATGTAAAATGGGGATTTTTGTTCAGATCTGCTTTTTTTTTTTTAATGTCCAAACATTTACATTTAGTGGAAAGTGTGTAAAATATTGATGTCATTATATCAGACTATTCTCAGGAGATGTCAATAATGCAGCATCTAAGAAAGCGAATGTCTTATCTGTCAATTTAAAAAAAACTATAGAAGACATTAGTGTTATAAGGGTATTTGCGTACAAATGTCATTTATTCCAAAGATTACACAAACCGATGAGTTTGGATCACGCCAGACCTCTGCCATGATGATAGCAACCTGTGGTTGGATAATGATATTATATGGCATCTGTCTCGCAATTACAATAACTTACATCTGTTCTCTATGTAACATCACGCAGGGTCAAGTATCCTTAAGTTACAGCAGGTGGATTTTAATACCTTTTATGTGCATTTTTATGTGATGATTCTTTATATTTTTGAATATGATGAACTTGATCAATTTATCTTTCCCTTACAGTATTTATATCTCCTCCTGAGACTCTCTCTCTCTCTCTCTCTCTCTCTCTCTCTCTCTCTCTACAATACAATACAATAAATTTTATTTCATGTTGGTTTTAAATTGAATGGAAACATTAGCTTTACAGCTATTCTCCGACTGGGTAAGGACAAAAACATATCTACAATAATGCAATATTACACTCTCTCTCTACTGTGTGATTGGGGGGGAGGGTGCAGGAGGAAGGGGTTGGATAAAAAAGCACATACACTTCTGAATCAAATTCTGAAACAATTCATCTGTCAGTGCCAGAAAAAGTCATTTCAGCCCCTTGAGATTCCCAATCCAAAATTTCACCTAACTTACATTTGATTTCTTAGCTAAGAAGTAGGAATCTGTCATGTGGTTTACTATATTATATCTTACATTGCGTTCAGTATGACATTTCATGGAATATCACATTACAAATGGATTACAATAATTTTCTGGGTTTGTTTCATAGACACAGACATAAAAATACGAACAAAACGTGCCCTTGTGGTTGACCTTCGTGTCTTAAAAAAGTGCAGCCTTAATAAAATGTATCAAAATATCATGGACAGTAAAAGAAATTGCATACATCTTCTTCACAATGTATAATAGAATGTTTCAGGCTTTTAGTAAATCTGCACGCCAAACAGTTTTGGTGCCATAAGCCAGTTGTTTTCCCAAAGGGCTTTGTGGTTGCCCACATGTTTTGTTATTAGGCTTGCTGTGAATTGTTATTGCAAAGATATTCTTGCCTGCAGGACTTGTAAATCATTGACATGTGGTATGGTTTAAGACAGGCGGATAATGATGTATTGTTAACATATAGTAATAGACGAGATATGTAACAGAATATACAAATCAAGATGGAAATAAAATTTAGTTTATTTTTTTAATGCAGATGAGTTAATTTTTTTATATTTTGTAATCTAGCACTGAGAACAATCATGTGTTCTATTTAAACCTAAACACTCTAAACACTACACATGTCAGTGGTTGGCGGGCTTTAATCGAAATATTTGTAAGTGATTTCTAACATTAGTTCACTTGTGATGAGACACATAAGATTACACTTATGTGGCTAATATAAAATTAATATATTTGTCTTAACTTCTCTCTTTGTTGTTGTTTTTTTTAAGGTATTTGTAGATGGCATCCTGTACCTTGAGTTCACTCATCGCCTGGCCATGGAGAGAGTGACACATGTCATGGTCAATGGCAACGCTGATTTCTATACAGTAGAGTGCCCGGATGAATTGGTAAGGAAACCCCCACCCCTCCCCTCCCCACCCCACCCCACTTCCTATCCTGTCCTATCCTTTTTGCCTTTTTAAACAGGTTTTGTGTGTTGAAAGCCAAACAGTACACCAGAGGCCAACAACCCTTTATTAATTGTTCCTGTGAATACAACAGTATATTGATTGATGCCTGGCCATTCATCTGACAGAAAGATTGCATGTGAGTAGAGGTATAGTGTATACCTTAACCCATCTTCTACATTTCAGCTAGCATTTGCCCTTAGAAATGCATTGTGTTGTGTATGCCTGAATGCATGGTTTTAAAACATGTACAATTTATAATATAATATTACTATTATATAATATTAATTATTTTACTTTTTCTTTAATTCATCAGTTAAGTTTATTTGACATCATGAAGTATACATGACATTCAAGTATCATTCTGATTGTGTTTATTTTCAATACATAGGAGCTGCCATATTGCAGTGCAATTCCTGGTGGCCTACATGAAGGCAAAACCATATTCTTTACTGGGACCCCTCTAGGAGATGGCTGCAAGTAAGATATATATGAACTATTATTAACATAATTAACAATTGAGATGTAAAATGTTGGCAAATGAAAAATTTAACAAGATTTGGGAAACAAACATTTTTGCTTTACTTTGCTCAACATAACAACAAAAAAAAAAATAAAATAAAATAAAATAAAAAATAATAATTATAATAATTATTATTATTATTATTATAAATTTTTTAGAAATAGGAAAGAAGTGTTTGAAATAATCAGTGCATGGTTCTTTGGTCCCAGGAGAGTAATTTCCTGCTGAGCCAGGGAGATGGTTTTCTTATTGACTGGAAAGTTTATGAGTAATAATTCATGAAGCATGACGTGATTTTTAGCCAAGCCATTTACCCTAGTTTACCCTAGTGGCCTGGATGACTGCTGAAAAGCTATAAGCATTTCAGGCTTTCATAAGCCCCATTCAGAATAGGGGACTAACTAGTCTGAGGGTCAAATATGGCCAACCCACTTGAATACTTCCCCACAGGATATCTATTCAGTGTCTGTTAGCGGATCAGATGGCAAGCTATTCTGAATGGGGCCATACTAGGGATGTTAAAGGGGGTTAGCACACCCTTCATTTTTCATCTGTTTCTTCTTCTTCAATACCTTTACGCTGACTGGCATGTAGGCTGTGTTTGCCTGCCTTAAGCACTTCTAGTATGAGAGCTTGAAGCATGTAGAGTATTTCAAGTCTTTCAATGGCTTATGAAGAGATAAATGTATGAGCCAAAATTAGATCAAATCATGTTATTTGAGATAAAAGCTTTCATTGCTTGAATGTGAAGTAATACCAGGCAGCCGGCACCACATTAAGGCTTGTTGATCAGTGATAATTGTGAACAAATGGGCCTTTTCACATTGAATGGTAGTTCTATATGTTATAACCAGTTGTGTATACCCAAAGGTATATTTACTTGACAGTCATATGAGTGCGATGGATGATTCATCCATTGTATATCATCTGTTAATGGGAAATTTAGTAAAATGACAATTTTATTATTGTCCAATGTATATTGCCACTTTCTTAACTTCAAAAATGGCTACATGTACAGCGCACTGGCAGTTTTGGGATGATAGAACACAGATGACAGGAAAGGGAAAGAGAAGATAACATAAAGACAAAAAAACTTTTTGTGCCTTTCCTTGTCTGCATGGTGAATAAATTAGCTATAGATGGTGCATACAGTCTCCGTGCCCTGCTCCTTCCTCTTATTCTCATCTCCAGTGTGATTATCCTCAAAACTTCTCTAATTCTTTTTCCCATTTTTTTCCCAGTTTTGAAGTTGGATTACAATGCAGTACAAAGCCTGGATCGCACATTCCGTTTTACTTCAAAGTGAACTTTGCTCCTGACGCCAAGGCGACCACTGCTTCATTCATCAACCATGTGTGGGACGCTGGGGAGAAGTTAGAGGGACCGTTGCCTTTTCAGCCAGATAAGAAATTTGTGATGAAGGTTGTTGTGGAACCTGAATGCTTCCGGGTGAGATTGCTAGTGCATTGTGGTAGTTGGGATTGTGGTAGTTGGGATTGTATTGTTTCCATTTGATAGTACACAATGCTGTGATGTGAACCTCACTTGAGAGACAAATCACACATTATTAATTCATGTATCATTTTCATCACGTTTTACATATACATTATTTTTATATGAAAATTGCTAACAGTGGTAATCATCTTCATTCCTGTGAGGTAGATATAAGCCATATGATCATGTTTTAATTTGTATCAGGTGAAAGTTGATGATGAGAACTTCCTGGAATTCAAGCATAAACTCCCCTATGAGAGGATCACACACGTGACAGTGGACGGGGACTTGGCACTGTATTCTGTCACCTACAGGGACCGCTGGGTGGGTAAAACATAAGTATATGCACAGTTGTGTGTGTGTGCATGTGTGTGTGTGTGTGTGTGAGAGAGAGAGAGAGAGAGAGAGAGAGAGAGAGAGAGGGTACATGTACAGGACTGAATGCATGTACGTGTGCATATGTGCAGACGCAACATGCGTGAACTTGTATATTTATGCATGTACATGTCTATGCTTGTCTACACATACATGCATTTAAACTTGCAGAGCTGTTGCAATAGTCAGAAAGTACATAATGGTCCAAAGGTTTGATAGTCCGAATTAATGCATGAATAAAGTGTACAGTGTACTGTACGTAATAAAGTTAAGTTCATCAGAGGCATGTACATAAAACCAATGAACCTTAGGATTATCAAGACACTGACGAATTTATGATAATGCTTGATTTGTATATAAAGCTTAAGGAGTGCATAAAAATGAATAAGATACATTTAAACATCATTTTGAAAAGGAAGTGAGGTAGGATAAACAAAAACATACGGCCACCAAATGACAGTCATAAAAATATTGCCCACAAAACACAGCTGTAAAAACATTTTCCTGTCACAGTGTCACTCTTGGATGTGTACATGCAACCACATGTAAAGAACATACCTGAACATGCTCTGGAGTGATTGGGCATATCATTTGATATTAGTGATCATATTGTACATCATTATTGTAGAGAGAGATATCTATTGATTGAATATTGAATACATGGTTGATGACATGGTGTTACATTTCATATTCTCATCCATAGGGTTTATATATTCATGCATGTTTTGGAATAAAATTCTCCCATGCTACCAGTATTACAAATCATAATTTATGACATAATTGTATAATTGATGTTATATTTCAGATTGGTCGCAGACAGAGTAAGGCGTACCACATCGTCAAGTCTTGCTGCCCAGTATGTGTGGGGTGCGTGATAATGTAACATCACAGGGGCAGATTTTACTGGTTTCTGAGTCTTGGCCAAGGAGGTTAGATTTCTCAAAATACCCTGTATGATATTAAATTGATGCCTTGACTTCTGGATAGACTCTAGGAGCAATGATGCAGATGGATTGAAAACTTTTTTTAATAATAGTTTGATCATTCCAGGACATGCAAATAAATCTCAAGTGCAATATTGTTGTTGTTGAATTTAGGTATGTTGCATTCAATCCCATAAATACAAGATAGATTGAAACTTGAAATATTCTAGAAAGAATGGTCCCACTGTAGATATTGAACAGTGCCTTATAGTGACATTAGAACAGAAGATGGAGGGCTTAATTCAAAACACTAATGTCTCACTTCATTCTGATGCTTTGTTGGTGTTGTTTGCCTTAATGTCCTCAGTTAGCCATGAAAAATTGCCTTATTGTAACTTAATTGGTTTTAAAACTTTTAAGTTACAACACCAGCTAAAAAATTAAAAAAAGAATGGTTCTATGCCTGCACCTACCAAGCAAAAAATAGATAAATCCAGTGCCTGAGAAAAAAATATGTTTGTAATTTTTGTTTCAGCAAATATTTGTAGTTTTGCTGTGCACGCACAACAGGAAAAAGTTGCTTGAATATTGTATTGCAAGGAGAGTAAATCTATGTTGATTTGTTGTATTTTGAATACTTTTATTCTGCTGTTATCTAGATCTGTTGTAATATCTCATACAATTAGGTGGAATATCTGGCAAGCACGTCATTAATTAATAATGAAAAACACATGTCAAGGAAATATTGCAACTTTTAACTTTTGTTTTGTACCCTTATGAGTAGAGGTAATATGTTTAGCAGGTGTCAATAACAAAAGTGATTCTACTGTAGAATTTGTAGAATTTCATTTGGAATTTGTAAGTTTAGTTGTGTGTATTTCCAATAACTTCTACCAAAATAAAAGAAAAGGGCAAAAAGATCATATGCTCACCAAGAAGCATACCAGGGTTATTAAAAAGTCCCATATTCTGTCTCCCCTTTCTGGTAACTGTGGATATGATCAGGTGTGGGATGTAACTGGGAAAAGTATATTTGCAGCACAAATTTGGCAGTTATAAATAGCTTGAAATATTCCAGATTTAATAACATTTTATAGGAATCATACTACACTAACGTGTACTAGCAGCACTTATTAAAATTGTCTGGTCAACTATAATGCAAATTTATTAACATTACATCTATCAAGGGGAAGATACATGCTATACTTCCCATGTTTTACCCTAAATGAAAAGTACTTTTTAACCAATTAAGGACTGTATAATGCTATTAAAGCATAATCAAAGTTTATTTTAGAGACATATTTAGAGGAAAAATGTATTTGTTAAAACATGAAGTTATCATATGCTTATTCTTAAGACAGAAAGCATTATATTATATTATATTTCAGATTTCTTATATATATATATATATATATATATATATATATATATATATATATATATATATATATATATATATATATATATATACAGTGTATGTTAATTTCATAGTGAAATATTTAAAAACGGTGTTTATCTATACCTGGATGTGTGAACAAGATATAAGTGGACGCAAGGTAATGTTGTTTATTTCTTGCTCTTCTTAGGACTTCTCACTATGGATATCTTTGTTTTAACAAAGCTATATGTAGTTTCTTTCTAATTCCTCATTAGCACATTAACATAGTGGATGTTTTCTTTATGAAATGTGAAATAAATAAAGGCTTATTTTTTGAAAAAGTTTGTTTCTCATCATTCATTATAACACCTGTCATATTTTGAAACATTTTTTATTTTAACAGTAAAAATTGTGCATACGGGTTGAAACAAATACTGAATTGATGATGACTGTTAAGTTATAGTTTTGCAGGTCCAAGGAACACATGATGTGCACTAAAGTAGTGAGCCACTTTGTGATCATTATAACACACAGAGTATACAGTACGACCAAAGAGCACATTGCAAAAAAAAAAGAGAGAGAGAGAGAGAGAGAATCATCTGCCCAGTAATGAATGAATGAATAATGATGATAATATCTGATGGAAATAGCATTATGTGACCAAACTATCCTCTTAAAATAGACGACAACCACGACACTGCATGTTAGCACGGAAATTCGTGCGTTAGCAGTCCTATTAGAGTTTTATGTAAAGCGCAAATGAAAGTGGTAATGCACAGATTTTCGTGCTACATTAACTTACGTGATATTATTAGGTATGGAAAGTGACCTAATGTTTTTTTAGTTTGCAATGAATTACGGTTGAAACTAAAATGAACTATGGTTAATACTAACATATATAATTCTAAGCCATCCCTATTTTTCTTTCTGCAATTCTATCGCTAAAATTCTAAATTAAACGTGGCAATACAAGTAGATGTATTCTAGAAAACCACATTATGAAATTCTATTGGTAATTTTAGAAAATAGTTCATTTGGCACAAAGGGAAATCTCTATTTCCTGACAGTTTGGCACACGCAGACTGACGTCAAAATATCACATGTTCAAGCTAACAAGTCAAGTCAAGCTCTTTTTGTTTCATCGAATAAGATATAGCGCTACTATTCACAGATGCGCTTCTCAATTGCTGTAGATTTTAGTTGCGCTCAAAGGTTCTTGTTTCCAATTCAACCACTAAATCGCTGTCTTTACAGGCAAATACCAGATTACATGTAACTGTCGCCTGCTTGCACTAAACTCATAGTAAGCGACGTAAACTGAAACAAACTGAACATGACATGGCTATTTAGCTGCATGTAAAAAACACTTATTTCTAGAATCTCATCCAAGATTGTTACAGTAAAATAGACTAGGCTTCACCCTCCTCTCCCGCATTGTCTTCTTCTTCAGCATTTTCTATATGTTTCTTTTTCTCTGGTAGAAAACCATCAAATATATCAACGACACTCTCTGAGTTCAGCTTGATCAGCGACTGGTAAATTGAGCGTTCTTTTCTTAAAGAGGCTTCTGTTCGCATTGAATGAAGTTCCTCAATACTGCTAGATAATGGAATTTTTTTCAAAGGACGAGACTCAGGTTGATACTTGCTTTTCCTACTTGGCGTCCCCCCTTTCGAAGCCAGGGCTAAAAACTCCGCTTCCTGAGCTTGCATGTCGTCAAAATGTTTCAAAAGTTTCTTGTGTATTTCTTTTCTGCTTTCACTCAGTTCTTTTAATTTCTTTTGGCGTTTCAGTTTGTTCTCGGCACGCAGTTCCTCTTTCGTTTTCTGTGGTTCTTTTTTCACTTTTTTTACCACTGTTTTGACGGGAGCTGGAGCGCCTATGCGAGGAAGGACAAACGCCATGGAGCGAACTTTTCCCCAAGCTGCGGGCTTGGCTGTCTTTTCCCCTTCGTCTTCAGCGTTAACTTCGTCTTTTTCCTCAGGGATTGTTGACATGTGTACTTCTGTCTTTTCTTCACTATGAGCATTCTTGTCGATATCCTCCTTCCTCACTACCTGAACTTTTTTCAACATAGTGTAGAAGGATTCTTGTTTACTTTGGAATTTCGCCATTTTCTTTCGATCTTCCTCTTTCCGTGCTCTGGCTATTTCAAGCTGTCTTTGCCTCAGCTGTTTTAATCTCATCTCAACGTCCGACTGGTTACTGACCAGAGCCTCGGCGTGAAGGCGTTTGGCGAAGTCCATCTTAGTTTTCTGGTATTCACAGACCTGTTGCACGAGCTGGTTCACTCTCTTGGTCCTGCGTTCCGCACGCTGTCCGAGGTCGAAAATCAACAACGCTGGGTTGTCAACTTCGCCAGTATGGGCGTTGGCAAGTTTCGTTGTTCCCGATAGTCCCACCATCTTTTTTCTGTGATCACAAGTCTTGTGTTTTTACGTAATTATTTCATTTCTTGTCCGTCCTTGCCAGTTAGTGACTGTAAAAAGCCCGAGAAGCAGCATTACCCGGGGAGTTATGGTGGAACTGCTATGCATGTTATTACTCCTTCAAATATCACAGTCTGAAAGCTACTTTTTTCCAACGTAAACAAAGCCATGTTTTGCATCTACATTTCCCTTGCTCTTCATGTGAGAGTGACGCGTTTTAAGTAAATCTGTTCAAAGTCTAAAATTCACGTTTGTGCACCACATTATAAGCGACCCGTCCTCGACACTACGCATGTAGTTATGTGACTAAAACCTAGACACACTAGCACTGGAAACAAATAATAATATCGCCACAGTTGATTGAAATAACTTAATCCGATTCTATTCATTCACAATCGAATCGATCGGATAATGCACCGAGTGGTTTGTGTTTACGTTTGAATTAGGAAGTACAATGTCAAATGCAACAGTAGGGGGCAACGGGCTTGGAAATGTTTCTATAAAATCTCTTTAGCCAAAGATTGGCATATAGATCCTTGCTTAACCGAGATTTAACCTGTTTTGATTGACACATTACACCGTTATTGTGAATTAAGCGTATGAAATGCTAAACTAAGGTCCTTTCGGACCCCGTGCGGCTCTTTCTTATCAAATCAAACACTGTCAATTTTTGAGAGTTCGTCAAATGAGCCAAGTTTTGCGTGTAAAGAACGTAATTTTAGTTGGAAAAAAGAAAACTTTGTTTTGCGTCCGCACCGGAGCCAATGCTTGAAAAGCGAAAAAGCAAACCGCTATCGTCGAATGTTCCACCCCCCCCCCCCCCCCAACGCACACACACACTCCCTTGGATCAGTTTTATCAGTAAAATTAATCTGGGCACGTGACTATGCTCTTATTTTGACGGCGGTACCAGGGGTATTTAACAGTATCAAGTTTTTCATCTCTATCACTTTCACGTTCGATCTCTGTATCTTGTCTGTTCAACCCCTCGCCTGTTCTGATTAATACGTCTGTAAAATTTGTTTGTGATAAAATAAATAAAGAGACACTCATTTTATTGGCGTATTCTCACGGTACAACGGCAACATTATTTTCTTTTTTAGCGCCATTTAATGCGTCCATAAGGTAGTTAATTGTTTTCTGTATTTTGTTATTTTTGAAAAAAAAAAAAAAAAAAAAAAAAAAAAAAAAAAAAAAAAACTTTGAATTCATCACCTACAACACTACATTTGATCACAGACTTAAACTCCTATTATCATTTATTTCTCCTCGTGTCTGGTTTACCTAAATATTGGCATTCACTAATCAACTTGCAACTGCCTCCTTTGTCTTGAAACTTTTCAACAAGTAATTATTATCGTAACCTACAAGTAATTATTATCATAACCTGACTAGCCATGGCGCAACAGTATCCATACCCCAGGCAAGGGTTAAAACAATACTTTCGTTGAATAATCGCTGACCAGTTTCTATGTTGTCCGGCAATTATAAACAGGTGTCGATAGGTTTGTTTATGTATTTTTCTTTTCATTGGCACATTTATTTTCTGCCACGCAGGTCCAATATTCCATAATGTAAAAACAAAGTTGCATTCTAAACACCAGTTTTGCGTTTTGATCGCCAATCATGAACAATCCTAGGGAGTACCAGTTGTCTAATTCTCCGCTTATCAAAATATTTACCATTACCTATGGCGAATTATTAAAATATTTCTGATGAATTTTCAAAAGACTAAAACAAAAGTTATGTGACCATTAGTACTGGTACATGTACGTAAGCTGTGGCCCCTCCCCCAGTGTCGAAAGGTCTGTGTATCGAATGTTCTTCCAAGTTGTATTTCAGACAATGTTGACGAACATCTTTGTTGTGTAAGGAATACATCGCTCCATGACAGGTGCATGGTGGAATTTGTACATAATAAACTAACCTGTGGTGTTTTTACTAGTTGCCCTTGTCCATCTACAGAATGTATAAATGTTAGCTATATAAAGAGAGAAGGCGGGAGTCGTACATTTCCCCCTATATGTAGAAACTTAATGCAAAAATCCAGAATCGACAAATTTTGAAGGCCGAAAACAAGAAATACTCTATAGTGGCACAAATATTTCAAGCTGGCATTTATGCATAGAAAATACGGCACTTTGTGAAATAAACATAGGGTGTGGACAAGGGTAGTATATCCAAAGCTTCCGCCTCAAGATTGTGGAAGTTACCTTATATTACTTTTATGTAACATACAAGATCAGTTGCGTGTTATGGTGAAGTCCTTAGTGCTAACTTCCCAAATGTAAATAAATAAATATATGAATTTAGTCGATAAAAAATCCCGATCACCAAATGTTCATATTTCAGCCCACTCGCTGCTCTAGCTGCAGCTGCCTGTTACTGTGAGCCGTTTTGGATTGTCTCCGAAAATATGACATTGCAGCAAACAGGGAAGATACACCCATTTTGTGAAAGAAAGAGTCGGAAAATGTAGTGGCTTGAGTTCCAGAGTATTTGATATTTTTGGCTGCCCAAAACGTCGGAAATCTGTGAACAGTCGGAAAAGTCTTTATCCCCTCAGTAAACGAGTGGCGTTTGTAGACAGCTAGCCTAACACCCCCCCCCCCCTCCACATCGTTCACGTGGATTGAAACCAGACAGTGGTTAAGTGCTCAAAGCTTGGAGAGATGCTGGCGGAATTTGCATGACATTCGTGACGGAGTCGCGTGAGGTGCACGGAATATGACGTTTGTCGTCGTGTCAGAAGTGCGGGTTAGAAGGACACTTGAAAAAATATTCAAAAATCGCACATGTTATACAAGAGGTCTTTACAAGCCGCTGCTTTTGTCATGAAATATGCCGTTAGAGCGTTTAAAACGGCTTGAAATTACTGAAAATGTTTATTCTGGTTCTGCAAGGTAGATCATACAGTGAGTGTTCTTATGTATTTGTGACTATCACATTGCTATGTATTGCAAAATTTAAATAATTGCTAGGTTTCTATATCTCTGAGCAAAGCATTCTCATTGCAATCCAATGCTTGTCCACAACCACAGATACACGTTACAAATATTCAACATCATCAAATAATTTCTATCATTTAATAATTAATCATTGAAGGTACTATTATATGTTTCTGAAGTTTTATGGAAATGGTAAACAGACGGTTTACAAAAATCCTTGACATATTCTTGATGTTGACAAAACAAGTCAAAATTCTACCATATACATAAGCAGTAAAATAGGTCAAAAGAAAGAGACAGAGGAAATTTAATTTAGTGAATTAAATCTCACATTACAGTTCAACTTCAGTATTATGTCTATGTTGAAGGTATAATATCACTACTGAACACATGGCTACAAGTCGTTTTACTTCAGCGACTATGTTCAATATATTTATAAAGTATATGAAAAACTATTTTGAGAATATGTCACAACAGTATGTTCAAAGTATTCATGAAAAATACATGTAATCAAATAAATTCAAATTTATTCAAATCAACAGCTTTTCCATATCTGTAAGTGTTTTTTCATATCTGTAGAAAAACTCGTAAAACACATATTAAAATATATGATATTGAACTTTTATAAATTTTTAAAAATATTTCTTGCACATTCCTTTTAAATCTAAAAGAATGAAATTTGCATAGGTGTCTTACAATACATCACATTAGGTATATCACAATAACCCAGTATAGTATCTAATCCTTCGATCAAAATAAATAAATAAATAAATAAATAAAATAATTAATAAATAAATTAATTAAAAAATAAATAAAATACAGGGGCGGATCCAGAGGTATTTTCTGACAGTCTTCCAAATGATCTTTTTTGGACCATCCTCCATTTTTGACCGTCTTCCGACAGAAAAAAATGAGATACTCGTCAATGTAAACTTAAAAATCTGATCGTCTTCCAGAAGACGGCCTCAATCCACCCCTGAAATAAAAATAAAAACCAAATATTTCTCTTCAAGACAGTTCCACATAATTCAGGTATTATAAGCCTACAAAGGCCCCACAGGTGTGGTGTGAGCAGTCATATCATCACACAGTGACGTATACACCACATGGTCTGCCGAATATCCAAACGCCTGTGGGCCAACAACTTTCAGTGCTTTAGGAGATCGCATGACAGGTGAGACTGGGAGGGCAAATACAACCACACGAAGCCCGTAACGCATTTCCTCGTTAGGGATGGGTTCACCAGCATCCTTGGTTACCATGGTGATCAGGTCTGGCGTACATGCTAGTGTCTGAAATATAGGAAAATATATCTTGAAACCTGATAGGATTTTTCAGAATAGGCCTAACTTGACATGCCTACACTTTTTAACTAAGAGTACTGTAAATTGGATAGATCAACCAAGTATAAAGATGAGTAATTCTGAGTATTGAAACACCCTATATTTTACAGACCTCAAAATTATGTCCATCTCTTGTGTGTCTGGCAACAAGAAGCTCATTCTGAAAATCCACATGTAAGTGCTGGCCTGAGAAAGGCTCTGTGCCTGCTACCTTGATCTTTCCCCTTGTGAAACCAGCCTCTGTGGACCTTTCCACATCCACCACCTTTTAACAATAAAGAAAAAACAAAAATAAGTGATAACCATAAACTTTCATAATTCTGAAAGATGCTAAGGAGAAGTCACAAAAATATATAAAACAAAATTTAAAAATTCAAATTAATCACATAATGGAAATGGTTGAAAGAAGAAAAATGAACTGATTTCAAAATTGTAGAAGTCACCCTCCATTGGCAAGGGTTGAAACTTATGGTGACCATATTTTTATGAAAAAACTTGATGAGATAGCTTAGATGAGATGTTTTTTTACATTATTTCCTAGTAACATGGGGGTCCATCAAGTCACCCCTCAGCCAAGAAAGTCCTGATTTCCTGGGCATGTAGATGACAGTGTAACAATGAGCTTAAACCATCATCTATACATTATTACTTTGATGATGGTGCCTGTTAATCTTCCATTAAAATAAGTGGATTTCAAATTAATGATATCATTTTCTGGGAAAAAGCTTTTAGGCAGGTAATCATTGTACTCTACAAAATTACAAACACACTCTACAACATCTGATACGAGATGGCAGGAAAATATCATTTGAAATGTACCTGCCGTCTGCTTGTAACATAAAGCTATAAATAATGTTGTCTTTAATCATCCTATCGAAACAATCACTTAAGGTGCACTTGGTAATGAGTATTACATGATGGACTTTTAGCTCATCATGAAATATATTTGGAAAGCAAAATCCATTTTCAAAATATCACCTTGCCAACCAACAGCACTTTCCCCCCACTCTCCTGTATCACAGCATCCAGAATGGAAGTCTTTTGTTTGCGTGCACATAATATACTGTTTCCCAGCCTCCAAGTCTGGCTCATGGAGTACAGAACAGTGGTCTTCATCATCTCATCCTTGTTCAGGGGAGCCATAGTGAGCCCCGCGGATAACCTGAAAAAAAAGGTGCAGTGATTTGTTTACTTGGCTGTTTATTTGTTTGCTAGTTTAATCATTCACACAATACAAGATGCAGGAAAATGGCCAAGACAATTCATTAGTGGGGTTATATAATAAATCTCAAACAATCAATACTCTATGCTTGTTTGCTAATGTCATATGGATGATGGTGTGAAAGTCTGTGGTTACTTGCACACATTTTCATTGAAGATTAAACATGTATCTACTATGATATATATAAAGAAACAAAAGAAAAATCTTCTTGTAACCACTGGATTCAGGATCATATTTCATCATAACATGATGTCAAACCAAATGTAGGTTTTTGAGGTAACAAAAGACTTAATGAGCCTCTTTTCAGGTATACATGTAGTATTCAGTCTGGATTTCCAACTTGATTCTAGGTGTTACCAAGAATGCATTACCAAGGTGTTACTTACAATACAATGCACATTGTGCTAGTAAATACAGAGGCGAATTTAGTCCGTCTTCTGGGTCTTCCGGAAAACGGTCAGATTTTAAAGTTTATATTGATGGGTATCTATTTTTTTCTGTTGGAAGACCTTAAAAATTGGAGGATGGATCAACAAAGATAATTTGGAATACTGTCAGAAAATATGTATGGATCCCCTCCTGGAATAATTGTGTGTGACCATATTTGATTCTTTATTACACCATTAGCAGTTTTCAATTTCTCATTCAGGAAGAAAGAAAGGGAAGGCAGAAACTGCCTCTTTCATTTCCTCTCTCCGTCCCTCTAATACTATCTCTCACTCTTATCAAGTGATGGTCACATGTATAACATCAAGTAATACTAATAACTTGACACAACTACAAAAATATTAATAGTTTTCTTTCTAAATTACGTGACATAACTTTTTTTACTACCTCAATAAAATCACTTAGAGTAATGTTGATAATTAAATCAACGAGATTACTATAGCAACTGATGACAGCAAATTACATTTATATTTGAACAGAATCCCCATGGTATACGCCTGTGTTGACATAACAACATACTGTACTAGTACAAATAAATTTATCAGGCTTCAGCTTGTTCCCAAATGGAATTTCTTTGGTACTTTTTACTTAATTAACACCATCTAAAATTGCTTTTATGGATTCAAGAAGTGGAAAATGAAACAAATAAAATCAAATCCCCAAGGTTAGTGAACTTACAAGCCTTTTTTTCTTGGATAAATTCAATAATTGAAAAATGACACCATCAAAATCATCAAAATGGCTCAAATCCAGAAAAAAATCAATTAATATAAATGTAGTCAGAATAAAAGAAGAAAAGATAAAAGACAACTAAAATTCTCACAGAATGTAATTCGATAATAACCCTTCAGCTAAATGAGATAAACTTCCTGTGGTAATATTCTGATGCAAAAAAAAAATAAAATAAAATAATAATAATAAAAAAATAAAAATAAACTAAAAAAAATAAAATGTTTTATCTGTTGTGAATTAGTACTATTTTGGTAACAAGAGATCCATGGCTTCACATTAATGTATCCATGATGGGTATGTGTTTTCACAAAACTTATTAATTTTATTATGACCATTATTTTTGAAAGAAATTATTTGTTTAAAGATTCATTGGAATGGATAAAATAGTGTACGTGTCCAAAAAAGAAGGATAGTTACATTTCATAGACTGTAAGATAAAATGCAAATAAAATGAAGAAACAACTGTAAAATGTCTTTTTAATGTATAGAAGAATTAATTTACCCCATGGGTTGAATGGCCGCTCTAAAATGATTCTCGATGTCCTTGGCTGTTCCTGCAGTAAGGATCACCCCCTGGTTTCCACAATCATCTGTAATGCATGCTGGGGCCATATCTTTACCATAGATAGATGGTGCAAACATCTGTCAAAACAGAAAAAAAACTGTTCTTACTATCTTTTTTTTGTGAATTCAATTATTATGCAGCATAGAGCAACACTTTTTATACTTATGATCAATGTTGCCAAACAGCACATATAATTGTGTCCCCAGAACAGCAGTTTTAAAAGTTGCTTGACTTGTTACATTATAATTATTACTCAATATAAGGTTTACTAGTGCTGTTTGTCCTTGGCCAATCCTTAAACTGTCAAGAATGCAGTTTTATCAATCACTACAAGCAATTAAAGACAGCCCATTAATCACCTTAAAAGGTATTACAAACATTTTTCAGTGTTCGTCTTTGATGAACACGGCCAGTATATCCAATATTGCAAATTTGGTCAAAACAATAAAATTTGTAATGCTTTTAAGGTTATTGTGATATACAGATCGAAAGTATCATTCTGAAAGCTACAACAAACATTTTTACCCATACCTTGGGTCCATCGTGTAGAATGGGTCAAAGTCTGTATATTGTGCCAGAACAAATAATGTGTTACACATGCAAACAGTTACTGGTATATGAGTTCTGTTTTCTGTTATATTTTTGTTTGTTAGTTTCATAGTTATTCATTTTCTGAAGTTACTCATCTTGATATATCAACTAGTGTTGTTTATGTCTACCCTCACTCTTCATAATACCTCTTTGAAACACCGAGTTTCTCTCCAAGTGTGTTTTAACTGTATATACATGTATAATGTACTTTATAAATAAAAAAGCACACCAAACTTTACACTGTTATTATTTGGAATCCCAAAAATAAAGAGAAAGGGAAAGAGAGAAAAAGTGGTTTTGGCAATTCATCAGAATTTATACAAAAATTGCTTGGATTTAAGGGAAAGTTGAGAGAGAGAGAGAGAAAGAGAGAGAGTGAGAGGGAGAAATAAACATTATCTCTTGAAAAGATCAGCAACAAAAATGTATATTTTTCGTAATGTTTTCGTGATAATAATCACTCACATTGAAACATAAATAATTATATATGAAACAGCTATTTTTTGCTTTTGTCACCAGAGCACCATCAGGTGGAATTCCCACTATTCCAATATATACCTGAAGTTCAGGGAAAGCTCTCCCCATGCCGTCACAGTCTACAACAGGCAGGCCAATCTCTGCAGCCACTATAAGAGGCTCCATGGCATTCCAGCCACCAATCTCTGCACACATGATTGCTGCTAACTTCCTGGCACCCATTGAACCTGTTCTCTCTGGTGGGTGTGGGTAGGCTGAAATATACGTTATACCTGCCCCCTCTTCCAATTTTAACACATCTGTAAATTAATGACAAATAGTGTTTTTTTTTCATTAAACATTGGGTGATTTTTTCATCAACAAAATTAAGATTGCAATTAAAATGTCTGGCATTTGTATCATGCAGCTATTTTATCATATACTACCATAATATGCCATGCTTGTTAAGTATTGATTTATTGGGCAAAATGCATAAGAACACTAGCCCTCTGCCTGGGGTAATGTTAGCCCACCAGTTGGGCAATACAAGTATCACCAAAATGAGATTAATAGATATTGTCCAGTTTTCTATCTTGAAGCCATTTTGAGGTCATGCAATAACTACAGATTTCCTCTCAAAAATATAACAAAGAGCTTCAGTGTCTGTATATGCAAATATCTCACCAGAGTTCTTCAGTTGACCATCTTTATACTGGTGTCTCAGGTATAAGTCTTCAAGAACCCGTAATGCAGTGGGCAGTTCTCTGCCACAAGGAATTTTCTCCGTCAAACTAACGGTGCACCCATGAATGCTACATATGCAATCACATCTTCTTCTGACAGGTGTGGATAGAGCCTAAAAAGTGTGATTTAAATTTTGGTAAATGTTAAAGAACTTCAATACCACTTGTATTATATTAATCTACATAGATTCCTGGAGATTCAGTAACCTTTAATTCAATACCACTCATTTATGATATCACTTAATCAATTGTTTAAAAATGATTAATAATCTTACTGGGATATAATAAAGAATTAGTGATAGTATATCCCATATATTTCATCAAAGGCCTGTGAAAACTGCAGTATAGGCCAGATCAATTCCTATGTACCAGATGACCACGTCAAGCCAGTTATCCCATTGTCTGTGGCTCAGCGGGATTTTTCTACACACTAATGATCATACAGAGAGACATCACTGCACATGTGACAATAAAAATCAATACGAAAGCATTATTACTATCATTTGGCAAAATACAAGTGCCCTCTCAGGCCAGTGTCCTTGGGCAAGTGCACTCTCAGGCCAGTGTCCTTAAGCAGGTGCCCTCTCAGGCCAGTGTCCTTAAGCAGGTGCCCTCTCAGGCCAGTGTCCTTAAGCAGGTGCCCTCTCAGGCCAACCACTTATTATATCAGATGCATGGTCAATTAATTCTGCCAATGCACACTGCCTTAAGGAATTATCTTATCAACAAAAAATTCAGTTTCCTCAAAGAGCCTAGGGCATTGATTTGCATGCTTCATGCATAAACTATTTTAGAAATGACCTTCACTGTCATACAAGAATCACTGCCCTCAATCCTCAGAGAGAAATTTGAATTATCTTTGAGGCCATTCAGAATGAGAAGAGCCGAGTGCTAGCTAGGCCATGACCTAAATATGGCGGACCTACATGAAAGGAAGACCGTTTAATCCTGTAATGGTCTCTCTGTCTCTCACATGGCTCCCCACCTTCACTCGGCTCTTCTCATTCTGAATGGCCTTTTTGTCACACAGAAATGATCTTTGTTAATCATCAACAAACAATTTATTACAATATACCACAACATGAAACATCCACAACCCATGGGTTTAGATCCTAGATCAGGCTAGTAGCCATCAATTTCAAAAGTGGGGTTCTTTTTCCCCCCCAAAAAAAGGGCCCTCTACAATGAAACCTTTGTGTACCTAGATCAAATATTACCCAGAATGGACCTTTTCCTGACAAAAAGAGTTTTTTTGAACCCCGACGCGCCTCCCACCCCCACCCACCCACCTATAGTTATGGCCTATAGATTCATTGCCAATGTTCCAGTTTTGTTACTGACAATACCTCACATGCACCTGTAGGTTTCATTTTCTTAAGACAATTAAGACAAGACTTATCTGCTCTCTGCACAATTAACTAATAATGACTGCGATCATCACAATAATTTCTTGGTATTTATTCTTAATGAAATATGCTATATGTCTTTTGGCAAAGGCACTGCCAGCTAGATTAACTTCAGAATAACCCAAACCTTTCTTAGAGACTGTAATACCAACATATATTGGTATCATGATCTAGAACCAGGACAAGGCACTGTGGTCTGTCCAGTTTTCCCCATTTATAACTTTGATTTATTTATAACTTTGATTTCAACATTTATGATCAAATGTGCAATCAACTCATCAAACTTAAATTCATGATGAAAGCATCAGAAAAGTTTTCCCAAATCCTTATTCACAAAAGCTTCCACCTACCTATCAGGTGTAACTATCTTTATCTTCTTGCCCTCTTTCAAAGCACGAAGACATCGAAGTCTGCCTAAATATGGGCTGCCACCCCCTCCACACCCCATTATACCAGCCCCTACACTGATACATTCTATATCCCAGGGAGAGAGCTCCCATTCTCCACTGGGGGTAATGGTAGGGGGCACCTGCTGGGCTGTCACCTCAGTGAGGGTGTGGTCCTTCAATCTCTGTTCCTCTGCTCTTAGCTGTTCCTCTGATACTGAAGTGGATATATGTATATATACACACGAAAAATAAAAGAAAAAAAAAGAAAAATTATTGAATCACAAATCTCTTTTTCACCAGTGTTTTCACCATGTTTGGCTCTTTGGGGGGCGGGGCTGCATACATGTGTGTATGTGTGTGTATGCATGTATGGTAAATCATTAGATGAAATGAGAAAAATCTGAAAAAACTAACTAGTGATTAGTCACAGTTAGGATTTACTATGCCTTAAATCTTAACTGGTATTCAATTAAACTACTGAAATCAACCTTATTCAAAAATCTACCTTCTCCTGGTATTTCTGGAGGTACAGGCAGGGATCCTCCTGGTTCAAAGATTGTGTCATGTTCTGTGCTGCCATCTAGTGTCTGCAGACTTCCCACAGCATGTATGTGTATCCTGGTGGCATTACCTGGGAGATAGGCCAGGGGAACCTCTGCCACCTCTGTGATCTGAATGGGGCAGGGGTTTTCAATTAATTTGATAACACTTTTTTAAAGATAGATGAAAAAAAAAGTTATCACTGTGACAAAAAGGGCAGAAACATGACAGAAATAATAACATATTCATATTAACCTGGATGCTATCAATAAAGTGATTAGTTCCAAATACTTAACAAAAATTGATAAAGTAGTCACTTTAACAACTTTCTATCAAACCAAATTTTATGGATTTGTCTGTTCAATAATAAATGTGTATTGACTAAATAATGAACCATATGCTAAAGGAGATGTGCAATGTGAAATGCATGAAGACATTTTCAAAGGACATGCAACATAAAACACAACGAGTCATTTTCAAAGAAGCAACATTCATTTTTCCTTTAGCTATTCTGTCAATCATAAAAGAAATTTACATTTATTCATGCCATGGATAGATATAAATTGTAATTAATGGATTCAATAAATTATGTATCACTAAGGTCCACAAGTATTAAAAGATACTCAGACACATAAATTGAATTAGAAACCAACTTCCATTTGCATCTGATGGTAAATCCTAATTTGATAAATAGAGTTTTGGAATGCTGCCAACATTCAATTTCCTAAGATCAAAACTTCCATTTATTTCAGCAAGGGCTGCTGACCCTCTGATTATACTCTGACTATTTGCCCGTACGAAGTAGGATTCCATCCATTTAATTGATTCTTGAGTAGTCAAATAAATTTTCCTTCTTCAATTCAAACATCATAGTTTCCTTTGGGAGACAAGAGCATGCATTCTGGCAAATACAAGCATAAATTTACATAGTGGGAAAGCTTACAGCAGAGAAACCAACAGATCTAAGCTAGTGCAACACCTAGAGCTTTAATATTATTGCAGAAAAATTGATTCAAAATTATTGATGTACTATATGTCAAAACATAACACTTCATATTCTCAATTAACTTCAGCCAGTTTATACAAATAATGTGTTGTAAGTCTGCATACTTAATCTCCTGCTCATAAATAGCCTGGATAGTCGACTAGTAGCTAAACTCACAACTGTTGTTGTACAATTACACAAGAAAAATAGGGGTCTCTAGTGGACTTAATGTATCACAGCGACTGCCACTGCCTGGACTGGCATATATAAGGCAAGGAACTTGAAGCAAGGGCTCAGGAAAGTCACTGATATAGCTGCAACTCTCCTGAAGACCACAAAACCAAATTACCTCAGATTAGGAACCAGAGACAGCATCAAACAGGTAAGATGTACATGTTACTGGAGAGATAACCACATACATACAATACATGTGACATTCCAATATCTAATGCAAACTTAGTATGGTTGCATGCACAGGGAATGGACTTTCTTACATAACTAGTTGCTTGATACAGAAACAATAAAATAAGTATTGAAAATTTTATGACATTCAATCAAATTGAAAATTGACACTTGGGCAATATGTGTGTGTGCGTGTGAATGTGAATGTGTGTGTATGTGTGCGTTGCATTAATAAATATAGCAACTTAGTCATAATGGAACAGTGATGTCTAATAGCACACTGTTCTATATAAAACTGCATGTCATTCAACTGTTGTGAACTGAATATCAAATTCACATCATATCTTAAACACCATGGGGTAATTATTCATTTTGTGCAGATTGGCAGACAACTTGAGATGTTTCTCTGCTGTGTCATGCTTTATCTAGAATAACACCTCTTTTGGATATTGTGCAAGTTCAAGGAATTATTCAAGATATTCGATCCAAGTTTTCATAAAACACTAAAAGATTTTATGGAATTATACAATGACATTTACACACGGGTGAACGCAAAGATCCATGAAATCATGAAAATGACAATAAATATTTTAGAAGAATTATATATTGCTGCTTGTAATATGCAGAAAGTTGTAATAATTAACTGATCATCTTGAAAGCTGCAAACATGAAATTTGGAAGCATTTAGGAAAAAATTTAATAAAAAATGGGTTTGCAAAACAAGGTTAATGATTATATCTGAGTGATAAATTTCTGTGACAAATATTTCAGAATCTACCCTCAGAGTGCTGACTTTAATGAGATTATACAGGGCATCAGGGCCTGTATATTTACTACTCTCACAGATAGACTGAATATTATTCAAGCAAAAGTCTGTTGCTACTCTGAAGTGTAAATAGGCTGGTTCCTGATTAAATTGGCTAAATTAACAACTTCTGTATTCAGTTAAAAAGGAATTGTTTTTAAGCAGTGCTGTACGTGTGTTAACCTTACTGTAAGTTGCGAACACGTAGATTGAAGGATTGGCAAGTTCTCATATGCCAAGTGTAAGAGCGGCTGACAATAAATACATTTCTAAGTATTTCCCAGAATGCGCATTTAAGGACAGCCAGCCTTAATGCAATAAACGTTTGCCGAGATCAGTGTTATTGCTTTGAAAAGGGCTGTTGGGAAATCCTGTACACAGTTTATTATCTTTCGTTTCATTCTGATTTAATCAATGGGAGAAGGTATGTACATTACTTAAGAGAGGAAAAGTTTTTAATCTTATATCAAAATTAGATTGACCTGGGTTAACAGTAGTCTTCAGCAGAAATAGAAAAAGAGAAAAAAATCTCCAGAGAAAATTTAAGGCACACAAATTTGCAACATGGAATTTTACCATGTAACTGAGGTCTGTTAGAAATTTGAAATAACCTGTGTACTTCTTGAAAAACCCGCCACAAATTTGGGATTTTTTTTTCACATTTACTGCAAACATTTTAAGGTTTGACATCTTAAGGAGACATCATTTTAAGACAGTTTGACTTTCCATCTGTATGCATTCAAATAATTTATTGCTAAAGTACTTCAGGGTAAGCATATGAAAAGCCTGTGATTTCTAAATTAAAAATTGCACAAAATCATACATTGCCGTGCAAACCAATTATTTCCATCTCACTTTGAACCTGTACTGTTGAACATATAACTCTTTGCTGTTGCAATTTGTCATGTTAGTACGTCAAACAATGCAGTAAAGCTAATTTCTGTCTGAATAAATCTTATATTTGAACAGATCTTTACGCTAAATGCTTTTAATTCAACCACATGAAATATTTGTATATCTTTATAAGTATAAATACCATTAACATAAAAATTCAAAGATACTCGTAATTTTAATCATATTTATACTATTTTAAAAGTGGCCTAAAAGTGCAAGACACCGGCCCCTGATAAATATAGAACTGTTTCAATTTTCAAAGGCAATGCAATGAAGCTTGAAATGCATCTAACCAAGGAATCATTAAAACCGGAGAGCTTCATTACCTCACATCACAGCTATTATTCCACTACTCAAAAATAACAGGATGTTGTGGAAGCGGCCATGCCCCAGTAAGGTGAAGGATTTACGATAATTCTAAAAGCTTATAGCACAAATAAGGTGATAAGCCAGCCACTCAAATAATGAAGGTGAAATATTCCAGTGAAATTGTTAGTTCTGTGAATCAAATAAAAGATGAGAGCATTGCACTGTCTGTGAAATTCATCAATTGTTTAGCATTTAGTTACTGTTGGAGAAGCTAAATTAAATCTGTAAATGGGCAGAAATCATATTAGCAAAACTAAACATTGATTTTTTTGTGGACTTCTGTTTTGAAAAAATGCTGTGCTAATTAACTGTTGTGTCAAATGCACCACCTTACAAGCACGACCACCCAGCCCAATCGGACAATCCTTCACATCCCATAATAATATCTCTTCATTAATTATAAACATTAAAACTGGCCCATGATGGAACCTATTTACTAAGGAGCTGGGAGGCTGGGATATCAGAGAGATTAGAATGCCTCCTGATGGTTAGAAATTGTAATCACACCATCTGCTGAGTTGGTGCAGCACTGGTTGATAAATCATAAAAATTGGACCACACATTTTGCAATGGGAGTTCATTTTATTCATATTTCTAGTTACTAATATACACAGATAAAGATAGGAGGTGGCTTAATTAATGAAAGCATTCTATGCTCTCCTGTACTAGTAATAAATACAATGACAAACAACATATATAGCTATTTACTTAAACCTAACAAAGACATTTATAAGAACAAGAATCAAACACAAATGCACTTTGGAAATAATTCTTATTTTATACCAGCAGACAAGACATGTAAGGAGACCATCAATCACTCTGGCCTTAATAGAACTTCAAAGTGAGCAGAAATAGAAACTGCTCCCATCAATTAATAAGCAAGGACTTAATTGATGCATAAACAAAAAGAAACCACAGAAGTCAAATGGAAAAGTAAAATCCAGGCCTGTAGTCAGAATTTTCAAAAGGGAGTTTTTTTTTCTGAAAAAAAATAGACCCTTTTTCCACAAAACTTATTTATATTGTATATTATTTTCGGTACTAGTATAACACATGGAAAGCTTTTCTATTTAGTGTGGACATCTCCAGCCAATTTTTCCAGTCAAAAACGTGATACTGTGATGACTCAATATGTTAAATCGGGGAAAATTAACAATCTTTTGGATACATAATTTTTGAATCATTAAAACATATTTCTCTTTTGCATCTGTGGTGTTTTACAGTACACAACAGAATTATAAAGCACCCTGCTTTTCAATTTTGCTGCTAACACTCAATAAAAATGTTCTAATTTTAATAAATTAAACTTTGAAAAATACAGTACCTGTAAAATTCTAAATTTTCCCCATTGAAAGGGTTAATCTTCTCCACTGAATGATCCCCCCTTCCAATTAGCCTGAAAATCCAACTTCTGGCATTAAAATATATATATACCCATAATATATAATTATCTGATATATTGCAGATATGTAGAGTATACATAAAACACAGTTTTCTCAGTGCGTTCCACATGGAATATCTAGTTCCCTGTACATTTGTGCCCCCGGGTCTCCCTTTCCTCTGGTTACCAATAACCACTCATTTATGGTTACATGTACAACACGATTACAGCTCCGCAATTTGTCACACCTGACAATCAAGATCTAATAATGTCCTTCCACATGTTCCGTGAGGGTCTGATTTTATTATAAGACTTATAAAAATTCGACATTTAAAATTTGCCAGCGGATTCTTTTTAAAAGTGATTGCTATCAAGAAATCAAACCAGTTTATTATCTGTCATCTTGTTAGTATATATCAGTTTTAACAGTTTTAATTATTAAAATAATCATCTGGTAAGCAGTTCGACCGGTGCCGAAAATGAGGACTCCAAGCTGCCTGTTTCCAATGAAGTTTGATCACCTGATGAATGAAGCAATGATATCAATACAAATATCAAACCTATTTGCTACTATGAATTGCTGCACTTAATGAGATTTCCACCTCAAGGAATTGGTTTAATTTCTTACGTGGGGAAGCCATAATCGTGGGTGTTTTATACAGAGTTGCACAGAAAAACTCACACAATAGTGAGTGAAGACTTATATATGCAGCAATTAACAAAATCAACAAACCCCTCAGTCCTGTGAGATAATGAAAAGCTTTGGAAACCTCTTAGTTGCGGAGTTTGTACAAATTTGTGTGAGTTTCGCCTAAAGTTTATATAATCTTTGGTATCTATAAGAATAAAAAAAAATTAGTATTTGTGAGAACCTGTGGATATATCATTTTCATAATATACTGCTGTATACTGCAAGACTGATATTGAGCTAAATGTCCAATGATCATTCTTTTTTACAATTAGGTCTTTTTTTGCCAAATCTGGCAATGTAAATGGTTTTGTTGACATTTTAACCTTTGATAAAATTTCAGGTCATCAACATACAAGTTAAGTATAATTTCAAAATGGCCTCCAAAACTTACTGTCTTTTTTACTATGAAACAGAAAAGTATATCAAGATGGTCACTAAAACTATATATTTGTTATAAACTGAAATTAAAAAAATACACAAGGTGCTTAAGCCCCCATTTCTATACCATGTCTTATATTTTCTTCTCACTGCTTTTGTTTTCATTATCATGAGTTTTGGTTTTTATAGAAAGGTTCCTGTGCCTGTCATATATCCCTGAAAATTTCTCAATCAAAGATGGGGCACTGGCTGCCCTCTTATCTTGCTTCTAATAGAATCCAATAAGAATTTCTATTAAGAGCAATCAAAGTGACCCAAGCAGATTGCCTGTGAAAGCTACGCAAGAGGACACTTGATCAGAATGAGCAAAATCTAATTTACTCAGGAACAAAGAGGAAATCTAATATAACTGGAGAAAGAAAAATGGCGGTTATAAATCATTCATTTTTTAAGTCAAATAGT